GTAAGTTTCAGGTCTGTACAAAAAATTCACTGAATGAGCTAATAATGTATGTCAAATTTATATGGCGGCCATTTTGAAAATAGCGGCCATCTTGTATGAGCAGAGATATTTTTGGGCCCACTTCACTTTTGGAATCTCTATAGTCTAAAGATGATTTCCTGAAAGTTTCATGCTTGTATCACAATTTGCACTATTTTGACAGGAGAGACCTTATTTCCCGCTCCACTGCAACCATTTTTCGTTACATGTCGCTAGTTTCCGTCGGCCATAGGTAAACAGCACTTATTTAGAAACACTTATAAACAATAAAAGCTGTAATTTTGCATTGACTTTGACATGTTATATCTGTTAAATATCTGGTCTATTGATTTAAAATAAATGACTGGACGTTTACGTTACAAATAGATCCTTATATGAACGGAATTGAAAAAGGGCACGTTAGAATGGCATTAAAAGAGATATGTTAAAACAATGACAATAAAAAAGCTACACAAAACATAAAAATCTTTTTGAACAACCTTCACTAAAAAACTGAATGATTGCACTGCGGGGATATTGCTTGATATTATGAGGAATTTCATCCCATTTCGCGACTTTGAACGGGGAACGAAGGTAAGTTCAGCGACGATTTTTTCCAAACTAATGGCTATTTCATTTATCTAAACGGGTTTTATATATCTAGAGGTATTGTTGTAAAAGACGTAAATTTTAAAAGTATTACAGGTATTTGTAAAATTGATTAAACTACCCCTAAACGATCCGCTGCTGACTAGAAAATACTGACCGCGATACTGTAGAATCGTTAGAAATTATTATATAACCAATATAAAAAAATTGAATCGAGCAATATTTTATTAACAATCCAAATATGCTTTGTTCAAATTTCAGGCAAAAAGTGTGAAAGTACAAAAAGATACAGGCCAAAAAAGATACAAGAAAGTGTACCGAGTATTGATTTCAAGTGTACCGAGTATTGCAAAATAGTAAAGTGTATTGCAAAACAGAATGAGCACATTAGTATGGAACATTGATATTTTTGTCTAAATTTCACGTCTGTTTATCGATTCCATTTCATTTTGCTGATAATGTACTCTTTATATGATATTTATTCAAATATTTCAGATTCAAAAATGCATTTTCAGTGTTATTACTGTTCTTTTCCTACTGGCAAAAACTGAGATTTAATTTCCCATTTGATTGAAAATCACACTATGGGTGAAATGAAATGTGTGCAGGATCGGAAGCTGGGTCGGGAGCAGGGTAGAACCATCAAAATTGATTATAAAAATCTTTAAATACACGTCTCAAGAAACTGTGATCAAGGAAACCCATCTCTGAAAAGAAGAAGAATAACAAAGCATATTTAGATGACATTAATAATAGGTTTTTACAGGGCAAGTTTGTCTTCAGAAACATATCGACACACTTTTGGCCCCAGTGCTTATGCCGTCCAAGCATGCCGGTATCGTCTTATGAGCATTGCGAAAAATGGCTATTTTAATTGAATAAAGCCTCTTGTTACAAGTTCAAACTGCTATGAAACTTTAAAAAATGCTTCAATACTGATCAAACTGGGCAGGAATGTTGGCTGGACCATAGCCTGTGGAATAGCATGCTCAATTTTAAATTTTCAGTTACCATGGCAACGGGGGACGTCTCAAAATTGCCAAAAATCTCTATTTTGCGTTGTTTTTCCCCATCAAAACTGATTTCAAGGTGCAGCAACTTCTCAATTGATTGAGATAAAGTCTAAGGTTTTCGGCGTTGATAACATGGTACCTTTAAATCGACCTGAGGCCATTTAAGCCTCCCCCAAAAGTCCAAACTTCTCGGCGATAAGAGGGGCTACTGCCCCACTTCAAACCCCCAAACAGAAGGGGGCACATCCCCCCTGTGGCACCCCCTTGATGTACCTTTTTAATGGGGGCGGCGCCGAAAAAGTGATCACTCTTTTGAACAACATTTCTCAAACGAAAAAACAGTGTTTTTGGCCTTAATAGCGCATGTTTTACACTATTTGAGGCCTCAAAAGGGGTGGGGTGTAAAGCCTTCAAAGCACGCCTTTATGAGGTAAAAGGTTTAAAAGAACATAACCTTTTTATTGCAATCTCTGCCCATTATCATAATCTTATCAAAATCCATAATTCGGGTTTTTGAGCTGTACCCGCTCGGCAGTCATACGGTAACTCCTTGCTAATGACGTAACAAATTTCACGTGCAAACGGTCTGCCGTTGCTAGAGTGCAGGCGCAAAATGACCGAAAGTTACCTTTATATGGATTATTGGATTAGTAGGAAGTCTTTTGATATTAGATATTGGCACACTTGCTCAATACCGTCTAATATTGACAATCTTGAGGCAGCATTATTTCACTTTGGACGCATTTTTTTACTATCTAAAGTAAATATGCAATAATTATTAACAAATTCTGGAAAGGTTGATCCTTCGAAAAAAACGAGAACTTTTTAAACACAGAAAATTGCCGAGTTCGTTCGACTGAGATTTTTCATGAGCAGGAATGAAAATCTGGATTACTCGCAGATGTTTCCAGTAAAGTACCTTCGAACATATTCTGCACATATAGTATAAATAAGTATACACAATAAGAAATATTTAAAATTAAATGTATTTACTACTTGCATTTACTCTATATTGATAACCAATACTAAAAAGCAATACTCGTGACACCGCGGCAACGTACCAAAAGCAATAATCGGGTACACTGACATGTGTATTTATCTCAAAATGCACTGTCGTCTGATGGTTCTATGTTGATTGAATATTAACAACATAACATATCATCACTTGATCACCTTTACTCGATTCAATTTTTTTTTTAAGGAAAAGTATATGAACAAAAAACATCAAATTTGATGATCTGAGCTCATTTAGTCACTGTGAGCAAAGAGACGAAGTTTACCTCCTAATTACATTTCAAACATTTTCTCAACATTTTTGGTTTTCAACTAGAAAAATTATCGAAGTATGTGTTTTTTCTATAAAAATTTATATCAAACCAAAATTCAAAATGACTAAATAGGTCGTCACTCAACTACCTTCTTTCCTCTTTCAAAGTCCGAAATAAGATGGGAATTTCTTCAGTAATATCGAGCAATATCCGGGGTACGGTATACCGCAGGTGGGATTGCGGATCAAATGATTATTTATTTGATATCTTCAGACAACACTAAGTCCCATTTGGTACTGGTTCCTCTGGTAGCTAATTGAAGATTTCTATCCATTTACTTTCATAAAAAAAAATTCAATCAAACCGAGTCAGTAACTGTATTTGGGAGATATCCGAAAACAGTATTCATAATAAATATATCCTAATATCTAACTTAAAAACAGCACCTGTGGACTTGTGGATAAATTGTTAATTATAGTAAAAAATAAGTAAAGGTTGTTTGAAAAGCACATATACAATTTAATTTTTATTGTAGTTTTTTAATCGCAAGAATGTATCATAGAACTCAACAAAGTATTATTTGAAAAAGAATATGAACTAAAATATGACAAAAACATTTAAACATGTATGAGACAGAAATACGAAACAACATTGTTTATATCATAAACAGGTAGAAATTCTACACCAAGTTGATCTTTTACTATTAGAAACGCAAGTGGTATTTATATTAATTAATTCGGTTATGGGAAAAATAGGCTAGGGAATCTTCCACTATCTCACACAATGAGGGTTAAAAGACATACATGAACATTATAATAGCACATAAAACATCGTTATCTAGGGAAAAGTGTTTATCCATATTCAAAATAACTGAATATAAACAATCTTACAAATGTATTTAAATGAATTTATTAATTATCTATAATATTAACTAATAAGTAAGTGTTTAATTTTGTAGATTCATCAAGGTGCATGTGACGGAAACATCCCTTCTCTTGTAAAAGAAAGCACTAACTGTAAACAAAACATATAGAGATTAGCTTCTTACAACAATGCAATGAACATTTTGGCTTTTAAAATGCTGCTGAGCATATTAATTTATACTACATGTATTTGTTTTTATGCGATTGTGTTGGAAGCTATAAGCTTACTGAAACACTCAAATCCGTTCCTGAAACAAACCGATGAACAATGAATGTTAAGTTCTTGCTTACGGAACCAATAGCTTGTCCCTGACAGGGTTTGAACCCACGCAGCAAACTTCCTTAGAGTACTAGTCCGACGCGTTAAAACAGAAAAGTTTTAAATAATTGAAGGTTGGATATATTATACATGCGTCTAGGATTCATCATTTAAATGACTTTAAAATCGAGAAATGTTAATTGGTATTTGTATATGTTCGTGCCGTCTCAGTTGTATACAGTATACAAAATAAAGATGACATTAAAGATGAAACACAATAAAATGAACTCATAAAAGTACAATATAATAATTTCACGCACGATATTTTCATTTTATTATTGAAGTCCCAATGGTTTTGTACTGAGCAGTGGCGACTTATAATGCTTGTCTTAAGGAGTCAAAATGAACAATTATTGTACAAACACTTATAAATTTTTATATCATTTTAAGTTTATGCCTCGCGGGATGATTCTGGTTGTTTGTATTCAACGTGTTATCAACACTGTAACTGTCATATGGTGGCATACAGATTTATTTATGTAGAAAGGCAAACCACCTCAACAACTCTGCCACAGACAGGTCTCCTCTCTGCATAATAAAGTGAATTTGAATATTTCTAAATTGACATAAAACATAAGCTAGACAACACTTTACATCAGGATAAATTATTTAAAAATCCCACAAGATTCAATGTGAAACAAAGATACAGATGTGAGAGCTACTTTGCATATTTGGCAGAATTCAGCACTGCACATGAATACTGGAAAGCACCCAAATGAGGTAAATAGACATTTTTATATTCACATAAGCTAGCTTCCATATGTTAAGTTTAATTCCTCACACAGCGTCCTTTATATACTATATAGGTTATTAAAAATAATATTCAAATTTTACAGTGGTCTAAACTTCCTCATGTGATCGAGTCTTCATAGGATGGAATTGCAGCGGAATAATTATCATTTTCCATTTTTTCAGAAACTTTTGTCTTGATATATTTCGACGAAAGCATCTGTCTTTGATTTTTGCAAAGTAAAACATGTTTGAAAGAATCTCGAAGTTTTTTATTTGAAAGGCCATAGATTATCCAATTCATTGACGAATTCATGAGACCCGGAATAATGGTATATGATCGTACATCCGCGTACTTGTCTTTATCTTTTGATGCCGCCATTGCTATAACTGTCACAACATATGGTGTCCAACACAACGCAAAAACGATATACACCCGTATTAGCAGGCCACATTTTACCATAGCTTTCTGATACTTTTGGTTTGACATGGAATTTGATTTAAGTCTCTGTTTAACAATTAAGCACATAACAATATTCATGATAAATTGTAGAGTCATAAAAACTGCTGCAATAAGCGATACCTCTTTTGGTGTCGTCTCACATTGATCACATGTACTTATTTCTGATCGTTTCAGATTAGAGAGTCTCATAGTGAAGATAAAGGTCACCGATATTACCCATACAAGCACAAGTTTTATTCGTCTACATTTCACTTTCGTTGAATGAATTAAATGTTTCATTGGGAACACGATTGCACAAAATCTGTCCACAGATATAAACATTAACAATAACCCAGAGGTTGCAATAGATATTCCAATACAACACGTGTTTATTGCGCAGACGAACATCTCACCATCAAATGGATGAAAAATGATTCTAATAATTTGAAAGGTAAGTCCAATAGCTAGAAGTATATCTGCTACAGCTAAATTCCCTAATAGGATGTAAGGTGTTCCTTTCAAAAAGTCTGGAAATTTTCTTAAGCTGACAAGAATTAGAATATTTCCAAAGTATGATGCCAGCGATACAGATATATACACAATCATACGAGTAATTCTTAAAGTTTCTTCTCCATTGTCATTACAACCATCTTGCTGTAACGTTGCGTCTGTTGAGTTATTCATATTTGAGGAATATGATTAAGAACTATGTCATTTCCCTCTATCCGTAACGCTCAATTACAAATTATTAAATGAAGACTAATGTTGACTGACGCAATAAGAAAAATATTGATGTCAGTAAAAAAAGTTCCATTATTGTAATCCTTCGGAGGTTTATACATTCATTAGTTAAATATAAAAGATACCTTAAAAGATAAAGTGATGTCAATTGTTTATCTAAAAGCCGTGTCAAACAAGTATCGAAAATCAATAGTTCTGAGTCTCTAATTGTTTGAACAGTGATCAGATTATGATGAAATGCAAGCAAGGACTTACATTTTATGATACAGATCATCAATGGTTACAAAATATTTTATTCTCGCGAGGATCAATGCACATTAAGTCTTTTGTATTATATGTCATTTCATAATTGAAAATGAAAAAAAAAACATTATTGAGATAACTCAAACATTATTATTGATGAGAAATGCGGTAGTAAATTGAATAAAATATCCATAATATATGATAAACAAGATCAACAAATGAAAGGTGGCGTTCATTGAATGCAACCCCCAAGCGACCCAGCAACAAGAACCAGTGTCAAGGAGCCAAGGAGGTTCCCCAAATAATTTTAAGTTATTGACTCATTGGCATGAATGTTTATTTGAGGGTCTGTAAAACTGTATGTCCGGTAACAATCTGTAGCAAATTATTTAATGAATAAATTCTTATCAACTTACAATAGAATATATTATCTAAAATTTAAACAGGCAATTGCATATGATGAATTGTTGATATTTTAGTAAAATATACAAATGTAGTACTGCTGTTAATGTCTTTCTTCTCTTGATGATGAATAATCACAATTTACGTTTTGACATTTAGCCACCTATTGTCAGATTTATAATTCGGATTCAAAATTAATATTAGTAAGTTAAAGTCATCATAGTTTATTATATTTAATTTAAGAATATAGATCTAATACACGTGTACAAGCAATTGGAACATTTTATTTGTAAACTATTTCTAATTGAAAACTATTTTTAATTTTACACGCTTGTATGAACTTTAATACGTTCAGTGATTATTTTGAACATTATAATTACATTAAAAGCACTTTATGCCTCAGAAACAAATTAAAGTTTCCTTTCTTAAGAAAGAGCAAATGTAAGTTTTATAACTTTTAAATCATGTTCGATGCCTATGATCTGTATAAAATTGCGCTGAATATGAAACTATTAATCATTCACAAAATCCTAAATTATTTTAACTGTACTAAATGTCGAAAAGCAACAAAAGCAATAGGTTTTTCAAATACATTGCTAGCCAATGAGTATATGTTTTTTGAAACAATTACAAGACACCTAATATTAAAAGATTTTGGAAAAATAAAACATCATTTCTGGTGATTAATGGACCAAGAGCAAATGAATCATGTTAACTTCTTGTATATTCGTTTGAATATATAATCTGGATCCTATACCATAATACTAGAGTATAAACGAAAACCTCATGTTCAGCTTTGTAAAAATTGCTGTATTATAAGGCTTTAACATTAGATATTCTAAATACATGAAATATCAAACGCTGTAAAATGATAAGCACAACAAAGGTGTAGTTAAAAAGATAAGTTGAAACTTTCTATAACCGCCAACCTCTCAAAATCGATATAGTTCAATAGTCCAAATTACTTTTACAAGTTTTAAGGTATTTGGCTTACAATACTTATGCTATTGGAATTCCCCTGTGTTTGGTTTGAAAACTTTAATTATAGCTGAGGCATCCTTTGAAAAAGAAAACTCGATGGGCTCTCTCGATAAATTCGCGAACAAAACCGTTGAAATGTTTATCTAAACACTTTGCAGAATTGATCATAAGTAATAATCAACTAACTCATTCACTTATATTGTCAGCTAAAACCTGTTTTGTAACTATTGCAGTATCGCAAGCTATCTCTTAATCATTTTAAATAACAAATCTATGTTGTTGTTTTTTCAAGCGTTTTTTTTAAACATAGTAAGGATAATTATCAGATGATACAGGACATTTGAAGATATCTGAAATAAACGAAAATAAAAGTTCAGGCTAACATTTATCAGAGCTCGCATTATAAACAGGAGTAATTATAGATTCCAGGAAAATTGGGAAAACAACAGTTGCAGATACTGTCAAAATCAAAGGAGTAATTGTTTATGTAAATTAGGTATATGCACATTGTATTAATTTATGTCAATAAGGAGGATTTTACCAAAAGGCAAAATAGTTCGGATGAAAAGAAAACAGCTGTTCCGTATTTTTCTGACAATAGGCCGCTGCACAGTTTAGGTCACAAACTCAGTAGTTTTTTTTTTAAATACTCGCCCGATGATAAACGTGTTAACTTGCATATGTTATTTCTCGGTTTTCGATACATATAGAAATTTAACAATGCTTGCAAAACAATAACATTAAACAAATGAAGCTAAGAAAAGAAACATAGAAATTGAATGAAACGCATATTTATATTGATGTCTCTTCTAAAGTAGGACAACTTCTATTTTACAGTATTCATTTACTCGGGTTTACGTTTGACATTATAAATCTTGTAATCATATGCAAATGTGTGAGTCATAACCCAACCCACCACATCAATTGTGTGAATATTTGGGTGTCAGAAGACAAATCTTTTCTCCAAATACAAACAGAAAAGTTTATTTTACACTTAATGATTTCGTTACAATTTTTACTCTCAATGTATAATGTTTATTTTTTATAAACTGAATGCCATTTTAGATTTAAAAATAACAACTTACACAACGAAAGTTTAATTAAAACGAAGTTTAAAAGGAAGTTTATGAATCAGAACGTTATAATATAAGTTTGTGTAATATACCTACGGATTTGCAAAACGTACAAAGTGAAATATTGAAAAACGACGAAAATCCAAAAAAAAATACCATACTTATTAACAACCATTCTTATGTAAATATACTTTTGCTACAATTTACAGAATAATCAATGGTAAGATTGGAAAATGGTTATTACTTTTGTAAATGGAACAATGTAAGATATGTGTGTGTGTGCGTGCACGTGCGTGCGTGCGTGCGTGTGTGTGTGTGTTATAAGAAAAATGAAACACTATCTTTGAATGGTATACCAGCTTTCTTTATTATTTAATATGCTTTAGTAATATATATATACACAACAGTTTTGGCTCTCCACGTACTTAAAAACTGGAAGCACAATTCTATATTATATTTTTCGCTAGTATGTTAATTAACTGCTATTTGAGCCTCATTATACTTTATTCATGTTTATTACTCCATTATGTCATGTTTGTACATGGAATGAGAGAATAAAATGTTTTTTGACTTTGAAAAAAAAATTTAAATCTTGATTTGATATTTTTTTGTGATGAAATACATAAAGATTACCACACAAATTAAGAGAAAAATGTTAATAGTCGACTTTGCCGGGGTGTGTCGTCATATCTTCCAGTTTCAATGCGTAAATTATGTGCTGATATTCTGTATTTAGTTGTTCACAAACATCTAAAAATATTTCTCCAACAAAAAATCGTGTTTATATATTGAATAAAAATGTAAGCGACTCGAATTATTTATTTATTGTTGTAAGTATCAATAACTCTTAACTTAATCTCTTCAAACGGAATTTCTTTATCAAACTGGCAATTCCAAATATAACTGAAACCGTGACTATCTAATATCATTTTGATTGAGTTGCCCAAGCAAGAGAAATGTTTGTTTAATAAGCGAATTTTGATCTTGTTTTAATATGTGTACCCAATACTTAAGCATATTTATTTTTCTATTACATTCCATCGGTAATCGTCCAGTTTCGCCATATAGTGCACATAAATTGGTTGACTGTATGACGCAAAGAGCCCGTCCAAAAGATTTTGTATGTACAACTTCGATATCTGCCCCATATTTGTGAACCAAAGTTAAGAACGGAACCGACAAGTGTATCAAATAACGAAAGCTTTTGGGACATTGAGAATTCGGCGTAATTAAGGATTTTAAATAAATTAATTCAAAAGACAAGGGCGCATAGTCCAAAAATTCATTAAACGGCATAACTTGAAAGTCAATCAAGGTAGATAAATCCTCAAGACATACTAGCTAAATCCACAGTGCTTTCCCCTTGAATAGAGCAGTAAGTGAAAGACCCAATATTTTTATCTGAGAGCAGACGACCATTTGCTGTTATGAAGCCTGTGGATATACAGGTCAATTTGAGAATCAATCACGTTATCTCGGTTAAACCTGGGAGGAATATCATTTCTGTTTATATATGGCATATTATGGTCAATATATTTATCATTCATGAACAAATCTGGTTCATTTGAGGTTCGACTGTTAAAGTCTCGAGTAACATATACTTTTACCGAGTTTTCTTATATTTTAAAATATTACTCTCAATATTTTCAAAAAAGGTCAAATTGATCTTTGTTTATAACTTTCGAGGAAGAAGGAGTAATATATGTTTGGCAAATAAAAACATCATCGTTAAAGTCAAATACTAGTAAACAACGATCTAATTTTACCCCAATGTAGCCAAACTGATTTTTATCAACAATAGACACGCACTTACTTAACTTATCTGTATAATAAAAAGATATGTCTCCTCTCGCTCTACCTCTTGTTGTATTTAAAGATTTATTTCCGAGTATATGTACACTATGAAAGCCATGAATATCATAATTAATTGAGTCAAGTTTTGACAACCATGTCTCATTTAATAAAACAAGATCATATTTCTTTATTAGCTGTAAAAAGTCATTGTCACATAAATTTCTTTTAAATCCGTGAACGTTCCATGATAATATCTTGATTGACCCCTTATGATCCCGCTAATACGAATCCGGTTTAACTTCAACATTGTCCACGAATAATTTTTTGCCCACAAATTTGACATGTTTGCCGTCCTTTTTTGCTTGATTCATCATGGGCTACAATGGAACTCTGGCGTCACGAACGGATTTAGGGAGTTGTGCGCCTATCCCGCGTCCGGCTTCTTCCGAA